TGTCTGTCCCGTGTCTGTCCCGTGTTTGTCCCGTGTGTCCCGTGTGTCCCCGTGTGTCCCCGTGTCGCAGACAACCTGTCCTACATCGAGCACATCTTCGAGATCTCGCGCCGGCCGGACCTGCTGACCAAGGTTGTCCAGTACCGCACGCAGGTGCTCAAGATCTCCGAGGAGGACGAGGTGGACACGAAGCTCACGCGCATCCCCAGCGCCAAGAAGTACAAGGGTGAGACCCCTCCCCAAAATAAAACCGGGACAGGGACGGCCGGGGACCCCCAGGGACGGGGACAGCTGGGGACCCCCACGGACAGCCAGGGACCCCCAGGGAAAGGGACAGCCAGAGACCCCCAGACACAGTCGGGGACAGGAAGAGGGACAGCCGGGGATCCCCAGGACACCCGGACCCCCAGGGACAGCTGGGGACCCCCAGGGACAGCCGGGGACCCCCAGAACAGCCGGGGACCCCCAATTAACCCAATTATCCCCGGGAAGAGTTGGAGCCCCCCCCCCATTATCCCAAGGCTGTGACAGGGATGCCAAGGGGGGTTAAAGACCCCCCCAGAAGAGTTGGGGACCCCCGGGCAGGGCTGGAGACCCCCAGGAAGAGCTGGAGAGCCCCAGACAGGATTGGGGACCCTCAGGAAGAGCTGGAGACCCCCCCAAGAAGGGCTGGGGACCCCCAGACAGGGTTGGGGACCCCCAGGAAGGGCTGGGGACCCCCCCAGGAAAGGCTGGGGACCCCTGCACAGAATTGGGGACCCCCGGGCAGAATTGGAGACCCCCAGGAAGGGTTGGAGACCCCCGGACAGGATTGGAGACCCCCCCCAGGAAGGGCTGGAGACCCCCGGGCAGGGTTGAGGACCCCTAGGAAGGGCTGGGGACCCCCCCAGGAAGGGCTGGAGACCCCCGCCCAGAATTGGGGACCCCCGGGCGGAATTGGAGACCCCTGGGCAGGGCTGGGGACCCCCGCCCAGAATTGGGGACCCCCGGGCGGAATTGGAGACCCCCAGGAAGGGCTGGAGACCCCCCCAGGAAAGGCTGGGGACCCCCCCCAGAATTGGGGACACCCGGACAGAGTTGAGGACCCCCAGGAGGGTCTGGAGACCCCCAGGAAGGGCTGGGGACCCCTGCCCAGAACTGGGGACCCCCGGGCGGAATTGGAGA